ATTTGAGAGTTAGAGAAGCATAAGTTTCTTCCCTAAACTCTAAGAATTTAGCCACTCCATTGATTCTTGGTCATAGAAACGGGTTGGGATAATTTTTCGTTTGGAAAAAAGGTCACTATATGCCTTTTTATTTCGGTCATGGCATCTTAAGGTTGGTGGTGGGTTAGGATTGTCTTGTTGTGAAGGAGTTGGGGATGGTTGAGTGTAACACCCCCGATTTACTAACTAATAATAAATAATAAATAAAGAAAAAATAAACAACTTTTGAATAAAACTGTGGAAGCATACACCTAAATCAGAGGTATTACCGCCACACTCAACAACTTCTCAAGTGCTAAGGCTTACAAAATCTTAATAATTACAACCCAATAAACTAGGTGAGCTATTTATACAACTTTACAAACTTGTTATAAAATACTAATCAAAACACTTGATCTCCTTAGCTACGATCACTTGATCAACCTGTTTAGACAAACTTAACTGCTCACCATTAAGGACAAATTTCAAAATAGATCGTCGCAAGGCCATTATAAGAAAAAGACATGGCCGCAAACACAAGTAGCATAACAAAACAATACACACGTCAGGAAAAAGCTGAGTAATCATCACATATCAGAATACAGAGTATAATAGAATAATTAACACTAATAGCTCAATTAAACAATGTAGTTCAAAACTACATTACACATTGTACTCTGGAAATAACCTTTGTCAAATCCAACCTCGAATAATAATACGAACCTTTACTCAATTAACTCATATATCTCATAAGTGTGCCACACTCTTTTTTTATACCTAGCCTTGGACATGAGTAATTCGAATAACAAACCAACAAGTATAAAAAAACTTGAATACTCTCAATAAATAGAAAAACACCTTGAACTAGACCACATATGGGCCAAATCCCATTGCAGGGGACCATGGAAAAAAAAATATAAATAAAGATTGTACCTCATTCTTAACTCATGATCATTGTCTCCTTACCAACATGCCAAGAACTAAGGTAATTAACATCGAGTCTCGAACCAAGAACAACATAATATTTCTCAACCCTTTTGATATCATACTTGATCAAATAATCATTTACAGGTTCATAATCAATATCTCAATGATGGCACATGTTCCCAAATATTATAAAAATTCGAACTCGATTTAATCATAGTATATCTCAACTCTTATAAGGCAATAAAACTAATACCCAAATATAATTAACTCACAACCCAAAAACAATACGCTGCATTAATAACCCTAAACCTCAATAAAACAATACTCTCTATAGCAACAACATTAAAAACCCTAGAAATAATAGTACAATCAATTATATACAACAAAAACAATACAATATTCAAATCAAATCAAATTAAATCATAAAATATCATAATAATTAATCATATATACAAACAGTACAAACAATAAATCATATCACACATAATAATACGAAATGTAATACAAACATCTCCAAAGTTTCTTGTGATTACGTATAATAAATAATACAATCAAATTATAATCAAATAACACCAAAAGATTGATAGTGTGATTACTAGTAAAAAAATATAAAAACATACGACTCCAAAATGACAAGTGTGATTACCTCACAAAAGCATGGTTAAATTGCCGGAAGAGTGTCTTTAATTGACATTAAGACTTACGTAAGGTAATATTGGACTTTAATTGGTTAATTAATGGGTATTGGCTTTAGTTTAGTATTTGATCATAGAAAGGGTGAATGATTGCCGCATGATATGTATTGAGAAGGGAATTGATGGAGTTTGGGCATAAGACAATTAAACTAGTGGAAACAAGTTTGCAGAGGTCAAAGCTTAGAGTTTTTGAGAAGGAAAAACACGACTGCACCCACGGCCATATATATATATATATATATATATATATATATATATATATATATATATATATATAGGGTTTAAGATAATTTTTATAGGATAACAAAAATAGAGTATAAGATTGAATTTATAAAATAATTTTTAATATCTTATTTTAGCCATAAAATATATATGATAAAATCTTAAAATATCCGGGTATTACAATCTACCCTCCTTAAAACAAGTTTCGTCCCGAAAACTTAAAATAGAAAAATTACGGGTATTACATTGAGGTTCACTTGTCTTTCTCTTTTTACCTCCTCCAAAGAATTTCTTCATTTTTAATTAGGGGATGGTTACTCAAGAAACTCACTCAATCAACAACCAACAACACCACACACACACCCTTAACTTCAAACCCCCCTAAAAATCCAAGTACCTATTTAACAATATAATACAACCAAACAGTATCTCCCAACACACAATTTCACAAACAATTTCAATTTTCTTCAATTTCACACAAATCAAATTCACAAATTCACCAAGTATATGCAATTTTCAATCACAACATCAACTACTCCAAATATCATTCACAAATTTTCACCAACAATTCTCAATAACCAACAATAATTGTTTGATTTCAACTAATCATGCAACTAACTACACAATTTACATGAAATAAACAAAATTAAGGAAATTCAGAGAAGAACCCTAAGGTTCAAGAGGGAAAGTGAAGTAGAATGGGAAATTATATCGACTAGAGTATGAAAACTCTAAATTTTCTCAAATTTGCTCCTCCTTCTTCAATCTTCCAACTTTTGCTCTTGTTCTTCTACGAAGAATTTGTGGGTTTTCTAATTTTTGCTTAATTATGTGAAAATTTGTGGTTTTTAGAGAGAGAATTGAATGAAGAGTAAGGATTTGTGAATTTTGAGTGAAAAATTTGAAGGATTGATGTTGATTTTGTAGAGAATAGGTAGAGGAAATGAGGGTTTTAGAGTGAGAAAGAGATGAGAAAATAAGAGAGAAAAGATGAAGATGGGTAGAATGAGAGGTGGGGGATGAAAGAAGGTTAAAAAAAATTAAAAGAAAATCTCAAAAGTTACCCGGATGGTGTAGGAGCGGGCATGCAGGAGCGCCCGCTCCTACCATTTGAAGTGATTCTGATATCTTGATCGAAGATTGGAGCAGGTGTGCTGGAGGTTAGGAGCGCCCGCTCCTGAACAAAATTTACTTCTTGCCTCACCTCACAAACAGAGGAGTAGGCGTGATGAAGTATAGGAGCGCCCGCTCCTAATCTGATTTAGGCTCCCTGTTTCTTTTCATTTTTTTAAGGAAAGAACAAAGGAGCGGGCGTGCAGGTAGGGTGGAGTCACTAGGCAAAAATACGTAATCCCCACCGGTTTAAACCCCCCATTTAGCACCGGTTTTGAACCGGTGGGGATTTGGGGGGTGCTAAAACCCCATACATTTCGCACTAGTTCAATACCGGTGCCAAAAATGACTTTTTGCACCGGTTCTGAGGGAGAACCGGTGCCAAAAACTAAACTTTTCGCACCGGTTTTGTCTTAGAACCGGTGCCAAAAGTCTCCAAAAAAATTTCCGGTTCTTTTCCAAAACCGGTGCCAAAAGTGCCCCATAAAGATTAAAAAAATAAAATTCACTTAAATTGTACCAAATACTTGTATATAATCATAATATACATAAAACACATATATTTTCTTCGATAACTTGTAATATTACACTTTAAAAAACTAAAAAAAAAATGGACATATAAACACTTAACATATATATTTTCTTCAAAAACAGCATACTGTCTGAGTTCCAGCAGGAGTTGTCCTGGTCTTGTGCTGGTGGCTGCTGTGTTGTTGTGTGTTCAGGCTGCTCTGCTGCGGTGCTGTGCCTCTGTTTCTGTTCTGCTGCGCTGATGTGCCTCTGTCTTGTTCATGTTCAGGCTGGCTGGGCATCTATTTGCTTCTGTGGCTGTGTCTCTGTTATATTCAGGCTGGCTGGGTGACTGGTTTGAGTTCTTGAGCTGCTGTGTTTCTATTCTGCTCTGGTCAGGCTGTGTTGGGTGTTTGCTGCTCTGCTGTAGTGCTGTGTTGCTTGCTGGTTTGGCTGCTCTGCTGTATTCCTAAACAATCGCAATAACAAAGTAAGCAAAAAACTTGGTTCAATTTTCCATAGGAATACCATGACGAAAACTTAAACATTAAAACTCTCTAATTTCCAAAGTTCAATGTTTTCCTTCTTCTCTATCTATCTTTGAGTGAATTAAAACATCCATAAAATAGTTTTTTTTCAACAGAAAGCAGAGAAAAGCCTTAGTTAGCTCTTCAAACACATGAACTTGATAAATCTAGCATCATAGTTCAATCATACATAAGACGGAACTGATGTTTTCCATTTGAGCTCTACAAGTGATACAATTATCTTTCTACACATATAGAACTTGTATGATGGTCAAAGTTTACCAAAAAAATGCAGCCTCAGGTATTTCGAAAGAAGTTCTAAGCCCACTAAAAACAGACTGATCACACTAAAAACATCCAAGCCAGTGGAATCATTGCTCACCAGACGCAACTAATATAGTTACAGTTGACCAGGTTATACTACACTAAAAAAAAGGTCAGAAAAGTACCTGTAATTGAAGTGCTGAAGCTCTCTTGACAGATCCTGCATTGGGCTTCGCCTATCAAGTTCATGAAGTACCTATCATCCCATCAATAACATAGGCCAATCTGCCTGTGGAGGATTCAATCGATCTATCTAAAACCAGACCTGTAGTTAGCAACGCAGCAGCAGATAGCATATGGACCAAGAGTCCAAGAGAAACAGCAATTTCTCGTTACAATGTCGGTATTAACTTGTTAGGCCACTTCATTCTTAAGTACTGATCTCTCCGCCTGTACCACTTCTGAATTTGATCGAAAATTTCTTTTTTCGTCTCCTAGAAGTCTAGAATCTCCTCTTTACTACTCCAGCTTATAACGAAGTACTTGTATAAGTGGCATAGACCTACTATAATTCATCCGGTAACTACTTTCAACTTTTTCTAAGCAACAATAATTACATACTATCACTTCTTTATGAATGTTATAGTATCTACAGAAACACTACTAGGGTTCTTTCAAAAGCTGATGAGACTAGTGCATATAAGAATTCAAAGATATAATGAACAGCAACCGATGGTAAATGATGTTGGAATTTCTGATATTTAAGACCTAGGATTTAGATTTAAGAGGCAGGCTGCATTGACAATAGTAAGACCTCTAGTATAATAACAACTTTGAAAATGCTACTTTCTACAAAACATAGGAGCTCGTATATTTTACTCAATCGACGAATTTTAGCATGAAAACTTTTACAAACTATAAGACAGAATATGTCATCACTTAACAATCATAGCCTAGTCTAGGGATGTATCATAGAAGCTCAGGGTATGAGTGAGTACTAATTTTGAAAATTATAGTCTTACTATATTCCTTTACAACGTGACATATAGATAAAATTCATAACTTGTAATAACCTGCACAATGGTAGTCAAAGCCAAGTTTCGAACGCTATATGCCTGATGATACAACCACTAAGAGGATCCCAGGAGGTTTTAAATCTCACTCTGCAACAGAGAATTTAGAGGGGGAAACAGAAATCACACAAAACAAAAACATGGAACTTTTGGAAGGACTTCTAACTTCAAAACACTTAGAGAAAGTACTGAATCGAACCTCAATTTGTAGGGGTGAGGTCACAGGAGCATATCTCTCAACAACGCTTCCTTGCCTGTCCACCAAAATTTTTGCAAAGTTCCATTTGGTCTCATCTACTATTACTCCGGTCTTCTTTGATTTTAAAAACTTGTAAAGTGGTGCTGCATTCTTCCCATTGACATCTATCTGTGGAGTTCACATAAGCATCTTGTAAGTTGTATATACTCCATGAAGTTGAAAAGATTCAAAAGATTGCAAAATTAAACACAACTTAAACCCTTAAGGAGTAGGGGAGGATGGGAACTAAGCAATGAGTTTCTACTCTACAAGAGTAAACGAGATCAAACGGAGGACAAAATTCTGCATTAAGTGCTTATCTAGGGCTTGGAGATAATTATTTACATGTTTCTTTTTTTACAGTTTCCAGATCACCCAGAGAGCATTAATGAAGTTAATTTACCATTATAGGAGCGGCGAAAGCTTTTTATATGATAGTTTTTATATTTTTTATCAGCATATAATACTTGAGCTATAGCATGAAGTCTCAGCAGGCATTGTTACACATTAGCAGCAATTTTCGTTCTAGTAATCTTGAGTAAAGACCCATCTTAGATTGAAAGACAAGTCTATCTTTCAACTATAACTAATTTTAGATGCATTTAAACATACGACAGAAAATAAAGAAACAAACAACTAAAATAAGGTGAGAAGTATGGCATCATCATTAAATCTGAGAACCTCCTATGCAAAAAATCAAAAATATATATCCTTAATCTAATAAATTTCAATATATTCACTAGAAGCAAATTCTTGTAAAAGATGGTTAGACTGGTTCCAATCCATACATGATACATTAGTTAAACAAAAGTAAATAAAAGCTGCCAAAAAAAGAGAGGAAAAAAAAAAAAACAGGTAAAATGTTGAATTGTAGTGATAAAAAAAAAAATTAAAAAAAAAAAAAAACCTTAAAACTTAAGAAATGGGGGTTAGAGAGAGAAGTACGTGTAAGATCTAATTAATAGATATAAGGAAAGTATAATATGATTTTAAAATATCTAAGTTTATCTTTTTACATGAGCGTTACATTATTCACTAGATGACTAGTAAGTTCTCATTTCATGCTTTCTGACTATGTGAGATATATTACCTTCTGAAATAAAGGGAATTCTGCTTTAAAAGAAGAGTAGACAGCTTCATTGATTTCTTCATTACTTCCTGGTTCTTGCCATCCAAACTGATTACATGGGAAGGCTAAAATTTCAAAGCGTATCACAAAGATGATAGCCACATCAACATACAACTTAACTAATAAGACGCTGTAAGCAAACTTTTCAAAAATTGTTGAAGAGAAAACAAACCTTGGTCCTTGTACTTCTTATACAAAGATCTCATATAAGCAAAATTCCTGTTCCTGTTCTCTTATACAAAGATCTCATACAAAGACCACTGCACATGAAAACAAAGATCTCATATAAGCAAAATTCCAAAAGGAAAGGACTGAGTGAGAGGGAAAATAAAAAACTGAAGTATTCACATGTGGTAACATCATAGTTAGCAGTCTTAGCACTCTAATCAAAAGACTAAATTTTGTCATGTTGAGCTAACCCATGAGGATCAAGAGGATTTAGCCAAAATTGTACTTCCTACAAGAGTACTTTTCCAACGTTGGAAATGCCACTGGAATGGAAGCAACGAACCAGGTTGTATGTTGTGTCGCGCCTGTTCCTAATGCAATTACTGCGCAACTTGCTTGCAATTAGGTCTCTCTCATAACAGATGACTCGTTTGGGAACCTTGGCTCCTTGTAGAGTCTCCTAAAAACGGGTGATCACATCCATTTAATGAGGAAAGAAATACACTGCTAATTTTCTATATCCAGAAGATCTCAACCATTTCAATACAATTAGTTGAACGCCTGTACAAAATAAGAGTTACAGTTTAGCTCGCAAAGCCAGATCAAATTTGTGATTGCAAGGTTTTCAGTGTGCCATTAATCAGATGACCATTGGATACCATTACCAAGAGCAATAGTCTCCAAATTATGCAAACCAGTGATGTAATAAAGCTTTAATAACATCAATAATACTTCATAGGTGATACCAATCATCATTTTAGTCATTATCATCAACCTTAGTTTATCATAAAATACTTGGAGAGCTTGTTCAGGTGACAAATTCAACAATATAAACCTTCAACTAATTATCCCATTCAACAAAACAAATCGAATTTACACTTACAATGTTTTGGAATCCAAATACGGCTTGTATTCAAACGGAACCATGGCTTCGCATCAATCAGAACAATGCCTTCAAACGCCCAAAAATTGAAATTCAACTATATGATGGTTCACACACCAACCCTAATTGCATTCAAAATTTCAATTGTTCATCATTAATCAAAAAAAATAAAAAATCATAAAACCTAGGTTTCAAACGCTCAAAAATAAAAAAAAAATTAAAAAAAAAAAAATCATAAAACCTAGATTTCAAATCAAAGAGCACATACCTCGAATTTGTGATCTTTGAATCGATAATTGATTCAAGTTTGTTGTTGTTGTTGTATTTGGTTCAAATTGACGGCGGCCGATTTCGGACTGAGAAGGAGAAGGAGAGCGGCGTTGCTTGCGGCGCAGTTATGGAGAAGGAGATCGAAGGAGAGAGAAGGAGTTTGAGGCTCCATTGTTGTATATGAGAGAGACTGAGAGAGGCAGATGAGAGAGGAGGAGAGTTCGAGGAAAGAGAAATAACGCCCGTTTTGTTTTTTTTTTTAATAATAGCTTTCCCACCGGTTTGAACCGAACCGGCGCGATTAACTCATTTTTCGTAGCGGTTTGGTTAAAACCGGTGCAAAAAGTCTTCCGCCTACCATTTTCCGCACCGATTTTTAAAAACCGGTGTGCATTTTGAGGTGCATATTTCATTTTTTCTACTAGTGAGTACCCGCTCTGAACCTTACTGAAGTTCCTGACTGCTCTGGTTCAGTTTGGAGCGGGCGTGCTCTCCATATGGAGTGCCCGCTCCAAATCATGTTGGAGTTCCTGCTTCTCTTAGTTTGGCCTAGAACGGGCACGCACGTCCGCATTATAAGAAAAACTATTTTGGGCGACGACCTAGTGTGGCATGGGTGAAAAAGTTTGAAATCGTCACACATTGCTTGCAGTTTGGGCTACGAAAATTTTGTTGTTGCCCAAATTGATATCTTGGGCAACGACCTGTTATGCTTGTTGCACGAACACTGACCTTGGGCTACCAACATCTAATTTGTTGCACAAAGTTAGTATTGGACAACATTATGTTATTTTTTGTTGCCTTTTGCACAGGTTATGGGCAACAAATTGCAAATCTCGTCGCCCAATCTAATAGCTCCAAAGTTCGAATTTTCTAAATTAAAGGCGGAAAAACTCCAAATTTTCAAGCAAAATGGCGGAAAAATTGAAAATTCCCAAACTAAATGGCTGAAAAACTCCAAATTTCTAAACCAAAAACTTTCCCCAAGGTTTTCGAAAACCCTAACAATAAACTTTATTTAAACCCCTCTTTCTCTAACTGTCCAAAATTTCAACCCTAGAATAGCCACATTATTACGCCTCTTCATCTTCTCCCTAGAGACCAAAAAATACCACCAACTAAATCGACCATGGGGGGTGGCTCCTCCTTCAAATTTCTTGCCATTGTGTGTAATTGCATCTCAGTTTCAATTCATTCCTTTTTTATTGAATTAATATCTAACTCAACCTCTCCTTTGCATGTCATTGCATTTCAGTTTTGATCTCCGGCGATATTGTCAAACTGTCTACTTACTGAAAATTTGCCAAGTTTGTTCAACACATTGTTTGGTTTTTATATTTTCTAGTTGTGTAGAAGTTTTCGATCTTAGCTTTTACTGTATTTTAAGTCTATGTTCTAGTGTTCAATGAAGGATCCTCTTAAATATTAAAGAAGAATGTAGGAATAAGTCTTACCAATTAATCTAATCAAGTATTAGATCTTCCCTTCTTCCAGGTGCATTGTTTTTTTTCCATATGATATTAATTTATAATTGATTTATAAACTTGATGCTAGATTGCTTGGTAGATTATGGTTTTAATTCTACCCTAATGAGCTTGAAGGAAAAAAAAATAAATAAAAAAAAATAAAAAAATCGTTAAGATTAGGAGTAAAATCATAATATAATCATCCCATTAATTAATTATATCAAGTTACACTCTTTTTTTTTTCTAAGAAAAAAGGAACATTTTCTATATCACTCGATTCATGTATGTGGCCTATTTTTGAGAATCAATATAATCACCTTTTGAGTTAAGGTTAGTATCACTTTGGATTCCTTTAGCTAAAGGAATGATAAAGTATTCTTCCGTTTTGTTTAGTTTTCCTATAAGATTTATTATCAGTTTGATCCTATAAATTAGATTATACTTCGTATTTTATAATAGTTTTATAAAATATATCTATGGTATTTTACTATATAATTCCATTATTTTATGATACTATGCAGGTGAGTTGATGGTATTCATTGAAAGAACTCGTATTAGAAACACTCTAGAGGAATTTGCGGGTTAAAATTTGCGTCAAATATGAAAATATGTGGTTGATAGAAAACGTTTTGAGCAATAAGCAAAAAGCATAATATAGTGCTGCATAAAAAATGAGATGAGTGAAAACAAAATTTTAGGCGACAAAATTAAATTTTCGTTGCACAAAACAGTAATGAACGACAATATTGTTGCACAAAACAAAACTTCTTGGTGTAAAATTTGGTTTTGGGCGACAAGTAAATTTATTCGATGCACAAAACTGGCTAATGGCGACAACATTGTTCGTCGCCCAAACTAAAATATGGACAACAAATTAATTGTTCGACGCACAAAGTTAAAAGGGCGTCGACCCTTGTTCAACGACACCACGACGAGTTTAATATCGTCACACAAGTGTATGGGCGACGAATATTGGAGAATGGGCAACGACATTTCGTCGCCCAAAGCCTATTTTCTTGTAGAGGAGCGCCCAATCCTTACTACTTTTCCGAAACTGCCTTTTTATCTTCTTATTGAGCTAATCAACCTACAACAATAGCAAGGCACAAGCAAACACTCAAATTGTTATATTGTTAGCTCAAGTTCTCTCATCTCGTTTTTTTTTTTAAAAAAGTAAAAATCAAAAATACTTGGGTTGCCTCCCAGAAGCGCTTCTTTAACGTCACTGGCTTGATGCAAATTTGAAAAATATTCTCAAGGTGGGATAAAGTTCAAAACCATTTTGTCACCATTGTTTTCATTATTGCCAATTGTCTTCATGGGCAAAACCAAATTGTTTTCTTGACTAACACTAAGAGCAATTTCATTCACAACTTCCTTTGAATCCTTCTTCTTCTTCCTCCTTTTTCTCTTTGCCTTTCCCTTCCTCTTCTTCTTGGAAGCTTTGATGTCATCCTCTTCATCTTTATGAGCGTCAGGCTCAACTTCTTCAAGCAAAGTCCTAAGGCAAGCGAGCATGGCAATCACCTCATCAAATATATCCACACCTTGCTTTCACTCATGAACATCAAAAAGAGAGTTAGTGGCACAAAGCATTCTCAAGTCATGCAAATCATTATCATTGAGAGCATCTAAAGTCATGCAACCTTTCTGGGGGAAGGACATCCTTTCTTAGGGTCAATGGTAAGGCAAAATTCATCATCACCCACATTTAATGTGAGCTTTCCTTCCCTCACATCTATAATTGCACCACCCGTTGCTAAGAAAGGTCGACCTAGGATGATAGGAGTGAGGGCATCTTCCATCATTTCTAGCACAATAAAATCAACCGGAATAATGCAATTTCCCACCTTAAGTGGGGCATCCTCAACCTTACCCTTAGAGAATTTGGTGGATCGATCGGTAAGTTGAAGAGTGACATTGGTGGGTACCAAACCACCTATGTCAAGCTTCTCATAAACCGAAAGAGGCATTAAACTCACACTAGCTCCTAAATCACATAGGGCATTTTCAAAGGAAATGTTCTTAATAGAGCAAGGAATGGAGAAACTCCCGGGGTCTTTTAGTTTAGTGGGTGAGTGGTTTTTGATGATCGCACTACAATTTTCGGTTAAGCTCATCGTGATGGATCCACTCAAGATAACTATTTCATCCTCACTTGACTTAGACTCCTCACACTTTTTCTCATCAACCTCCTCACTCTCATTCTCTTTTTGCAAACTCATGGGTGGAGTACTATCTATGGTAGTCCCACATTTAGTCATAATTGCATTGCAATGTTCTCTAGGATTAATGGCTTGACTAGGCAAAGAGGTGCTAGCATTGTTACTTTTAAGTACATTAACTAGTTGAGTTAATTGAGTTTCTAGCATCTTATTGTGGGCTTGTACTTGCTTGATACTCTCCTCTAAGTCGTTTG